GCGGATATTCAGACTAAAATAATGGGGCGAAATTATTCTATAGGTTTTATATTTTGTAGTTGTGTAAATCTAAAATTGTTTTCTAAAGTCTCTTGAGCTAATCAGTCAGATAGATGGACAGTAATAGCGTAGCGTACATCGACTCGTCCGTAGGATCTGATATAAAATACTGGATAATAAAATAATTTGATCCAGATTGAAAGTGTTACGTATTACTATGTAGCATATGTGTTTAAACCAGATAACGGCACGCGGCATTCACAAGTTTGTAGTGTGTTTATGTGCAAGCATAAAGCAAAAACCAGAATTCAGATAAAGTAGGATCCTTTCAGTCAAAAAAGAAAAAAAAAACAGCGGATACATTAAAATACTATTGGATAAATTTAGCTTTTGATTCTAACAAATTTGCAGAACGTTAAACCCACTAAATCCTTGTAGCGGGAATGATTAACATTATAACGCTTCTCAATAAAAAAAAAAAACAATACGCTTCGACTTAAAAATATAAAAAAAGATCCGACAGTCTGTTGAACATTTTTTTCAGTGCAAAATCATTTTTTGCGCTGAAGAAAAAATGAAACTCACAGCCCTGCAGAAAAATGATTCCTTTTGAGAATAGCCCGAATAGTGCATACGAGTATATGTACATATGATATGTATGTATTATCACCATCTCCAGGTGCATTTGTTGAGCGAAAAGAAATTTGGTTAAGACAATTGGAACAAATGTACATGTTGAACTGTAGCTCATGTGTGTTTATCCATAGATAGTCAATCGGTCAGTCTGCAAGGGTATCGAAGTCTTTGGATCCCGAAGTTAGCCTACTCTTTTGTTATTTTCTAATTACTATATATAATTCGTATAGGATTTTCTTGAAACTGTGACTGCAGACGATTTTGTATTATCTGTTTTTAACCCAATGAAATAGAGACACACATACATATACTCGTACACATGTATCGAAACATCTTGCATCATTTGAATTTGATTTAAAAATATTACTTTAACATTTTAATTTTTATTATAACTATTGATTGAGTGCTTTCAATTTGAAATGATTTGTTTCTAAAGTAATTATGAGATATTTTTTGTTAATGTTTGTAATTTTAAAGCCGGCGGAACCAATTCGAGAGACTGAAGTGTAATTGACAATTGCAATAAAATCAGCAACCGTTCTACATAAATGTTATATAAATACTAAACTAACCTGCAGTTATACTCGCACTCGACACACTCGTACACTCAAATTTACACAGGGACTCTAAAATGTACGAAATTAAAATTGTGTGTATCATTTCATTCAAACATCCATAAGTATGTTGATAATAAATTAAAGCGGTCTAAAGGACTTAACTAATAAGGAACAGAACACAGATAAAATATACCCAATAATAAGAATGTTATAAACGTAGCTGAATATAAATAGGCGGCGATGGTACTTAGTGAGAACATGGAGGTAGACGTAAAGATGCAAATAATATTTAAGGTAGCAAATGCAGAATTAGACCAGAATTGAACAGAACCAAATCAAAAACTGATGTACTCGTAGGCTTATACGTACTTAGCTAGGATTTGCAGCGATTATAAATGTCTATAATTTAAAAAAATTATTAAAAAAAAAAGGGGCAACAAAAAAGCATCAATAACCAAAATCCCCATACTTATGATATGTTAACATACACGCCAATTTTCTTCACAATTATGTCAAGGATGGTAACAACAACGGTAGAAATTTCTTCAGTGTATAGATTCTAAACTTTAATAAATTGGATCTGAATAGTTCTGCAAAAGAAATGAAAAAATAATATTGGCACCACAATAAAACCACAAAACAAAAACAGCTTCCATCAACAACTACTATTACTACTTTCTACTACAACAAACAACATCAACAGCAACCATCACAACAACGTACAAGGGTCTTCTGCTACGCTCCACATTATGTATGTTACGTACTCTCTCTCTTACTCTGATATCTACTGTACTATCTTCTACTACTACCTACAACACAAAAAAGTCCAGCTCTCTATTTCCTGTAAGCATTCAAACGTACGTAACTATATTTTTATTTCTCTGTATAAGAACGAACCATTGTGCACGTCGATAATACATAGTAATAAATGGTGTCCCTAAATAGTTGACTACTTTTTCAGCATAGTGAGTAGCCCCGTACTGTCCCTCCCTATCTTGCAGCACGTACACAGCACCCCCACCCGTCCGACTGCACAGACTCCGATACCAGAGATAATGTGTCTTAATTGAGAGCACTGGACCTTCTCACCACTGTTTCCGGGGAGGCTATTTCCCCTCAGTACAATTTATTTATAAGCAACAAAGCGATAAATTAATCAATCAACATGGGGGTGTAAGAGTTATGTACATGCATTAAATGTATCTACATGTGTCTTCGGTACCTATCTGTGCGTTAGTTTTATTTAAATCAGAATTACATTTATGGACTGCTTAGCTGCTTTCCTGAGACAGTTTACAAAGGACAAAGGACATAGTTTTATATGTATGTACATATGTTGGATGAATGACTGAATATTTGTGTATGTAAAACAACCGATGATTAGACCGAATATCTGAATTCGCTTTATTTCTTTGGTATGTTATCTACGGACACAGTTATCTACTTTGTTGTCACCAATTTTGTCAATATATGTATATTGTGTCTTCCTACATATATGTATTCATATATGGGCATTTCATACATTTCTGTAGCTCACTTGTTATTTTTCGAAAGCAATATTTTAGGTAAGTAGACACAGACATAGTTCAAGGGACCTTAGTGGTAACTGCAGGTTGGTGAGTTTCTCCCATTCCATCTAATTTCGATATTTGATTCGGCTGAATTTACAACTAGTGTTGAAAATGTAATATTTTTCAGCATAACACATTATTATTATTTTTTAAAATATATTTTTATAATCATATCCTTGCAAAAATAAATTTAAATAATGTAACTGTCATAAGACAGCACATCACGGAATATTTTTAAAATACCTATATGAGAATATACTGTGATTCCAATATTATGTATAAGGTATAAATATGTATTTCCGATTAATAAAGCACGAAATATCTCCACTATGATGTACGAGTAAAATCCAAACGTTTTGCAAAGTTACGAAATATTCGGCAGTCCGAAGATAGAGTTTTTGTTTTTTTTTTCTTAAAATATGTACATATATTACGGTGTTCACCAGCTTCTTCTACTAAACCCAACTAATCCTAAAAGAGTTTTCTTCTGCAGTAGCATGCATACATTTTTAGGGAAGAAAGCAAAGATACTTATACCTCACAGATTAGCTTTATGCTGTTTAAAGCCCGTATCTAGTATCTGTGGCCAATAGTGAGTTACAAATATACATATTATGATTGGTAAAGCTTCCAGCAAATTTATAACACTCGTTCGTCCGCATCGTCCAAAGTTTCATTATTTCTAATGTCCGTGTCCAATGAACGAACAGAAAAATCCCGCACCCGCATGACGCTTCAGCTCTGCACGTACGAGTATGCGTAATTTTAACTCCGTGGTACAGCTTTTTCTGGCGATGCACTTTGCAGTGATTTAATTAGTTTAAAATTTTTCGAGACTGATCTGATTTTAGTTAAGAGCTTACGTTAAGTCTGCATTTTATTTCTATTTTGATTTTTTATTTAATTATTAATTCCTTTTACTGTGCGTAATTGATGTTTTATGTATGTATGTATATATGTACTAAAGTTAATAAGTACGTATGTATTGACTGCATTGCTATTTCGTTGGTAGTTTTCTTTACGTTTCTGTTTCTGTTCGTTTGTTGTCTAATTTCATTTGTTTCAGTTGCGCGTGATTCGTGCTTTCCGATCGACCTTGGAAGACCTAAACGAACGCCGATCGATGCACAGCTTGCATAGCTTACGCAGTCCTCGGACAGGCGTGCCAGTGGGCGGGGGCCATCCATTGTACAATTTCAATCTTCTGAGCCCAAATTACAACAAGCACCAACATCAACAGCAGCAACAACCACCGCCGCAGCCTCAACAGAATCTGACCAGCGTTCCGCTGCCTTTGGACATATCTTATATTGACGAAGACCCGCAGCAGCATCTAACTTTGCACAATGGACGTACTACATCCATAAACATATCCGGCCCGGTCTCCACCACACAATCTACGCGTGTCCCTGCCATATCCCCAGGTTTCTCCGAAATAGCTCACACTTTGCAACAGCAAGTGCGGAGTAATCACAATGAAACGCACCATTCGAACGGACAGAATGAGACACGAATTTAATAATCTTACTTGTTTCAGCGGCTGTCAGTCACACACGTATTTGAATTTGAATTGGTATCGGCAAACCTATTCTCGAACCGAATCCCAAATCAGACTGACCATGACACTCTGAACCTGAACCCTAACAGTGTTGCAATAGTCTAAAAATGCTCGTTCTTATTATCTGTATTAGCTTATTGTTTAAATACTTTGTTATTCGTGCATTTTTCGATCCCAATAACCTATTTATTTATTCTCTTGGGGCTTACATATGTATACATATGCGAAATACGATTCGGTTCGTCCAGTATAAAATTACGACAATCAAATGCAAATTTACCGATTTTTTTCATCGAAAGATTGGAAGTAAACGAAACCAGCTATTAATGCGTTGGAACGACCGTATAAGTCCAAAACAAATATTTAATTAGTTTACAGGTAGCTTAGTGCATTAGTACAAACATACGTGTAACTCACGTTTTGTCTCGCTTGCTATACCCATGCGCTTTGCTCATCCAATGAGTCTGCAGTATCCAGATAATTATGCAATCTAACAGTAAAATACTTTATACGTTCTAGAATATTTAAGCATGCTTTTTATACTATTACCTTGTTTATTTGTAAAAAAAAAAAAATAATAATAACTTAGTAATCGTTTTATTAACTACTGTACATCTAATGGATCTTGCATATATTTTTTGTCTGTCTGGCTTGAGTGTTTGTATGAATGATCAATAACCTTCAAGGGCCCTCAATTGTCCGTTTCTGGTAGGTATACATACTCATCCATATTGTATGAATACGACACACTCACGGATTTTTAATGGTGGTTGCTAAATACTACATATACATATATGCAGAACATGCCTAAGTGCGACTCCGGATTATCCTGTTGCCGAATTTAAAACTGGCTTAGGGGTATACTGAAAGCATCGCAAACATTTTTTTTGCTTTTTGCTCCAAAATGACATTAGGAGGTTTTACAATGAAGGATTTTTTATCGGTAATTTAATCTTCTTTCCATTACCTCTTACACCCATACATAGAAAAACGGATTAGTTGTTGCCCATTGAACTAGCATACATATGTGTGAATAGCATAACTTTTAGCGTATAAGGAATACGATTATGTACGTAGCAATATGTACCTGTACCCATAAAACCTGCACAAACTGTGAGGGCGGTTAAGTAAAGTATTCCCCCTATGCCAAGACAGAGGCCATCCCTACTACATTCACATCAATATACAATATACTCACACTTGTACAGACATGGAATTCCAAAACATGTTCCGCATTTGTGTCTTTATTTCGTATATATTGTATTAGTGCTATTTTTAAATTTTCAATATAAGCTTATTTAGTACCTACCATCCATTTAAAGATACATAAGATATATGTATGTACATTATTCTAGTATAATTCATGTTAAATTCTTTGTAGCAAACACTTTCTATGGCAGCAACACTTAACTGAAATTCAACCTGTGTCTGTATTTTTCTTCCCCATTTATTGTTTTCTATTTCACTTTCTATCTCTCTCTCTCTCTCTCTTTCTCTCTTCAATATTAAAGGTGATAGGCGGAGAATTGCAAGAACGCTTGATTCCGGTCCCATATAGCAAGAGCAACACTGATCAAGCTGTAAGCCCCTTCTTATTTTATTGAACATTTTTGATTACAAAAACAATTTAAAAAAGCGTTAAGCTCAACCTCTGGCCAAAAAAAAAACAGATAATACACTTGTATGCACTTGTCTGCTTGTCTGATCGTAAATACTCGTATACTGTATGCTAAAGCTATAACCTTACTATAAATTAAGCAAGAGAAACTAAGGAATCTTGTTCTACGTTGTCGGTTATCTATCAATCTTTGTAGCATTTGCTTAAAGATGCAGTCTAGTAAATATCAATTTGTGTCCACTAATTTCAAGAGCTTAAGAAAACTTTACATATGTATACATATATAACTTTACCTATATACATATATACATACTCGAAAGATTAAAAAACTGATAATGCAAATTTCGGTGCGCCGAAAAATTTGATTTATCTATGTTTAGCCCATTGCTTGCTTTATCATTTTATATTTTTTTAAATACCCCAATATTAGTATTTGTTTGAGCTCTCAAGTCATAGTTTTTCATTTCACTTCGGCCTTTTTCAAAGTATTCCTTTCTAGCACTCTTGTATACTTTTGGTATTTACCTGATATACACACACACATTTGCTTGTAGTTTTGCATGAATTTCGAATAGATAAGTTGTGAATGTAATAGAAAACCCTGCTTCTGGGGGAGGTCGATCAAATAAATGATCTGTAAACTACCTAATCTCCTGCAAAAAAAACCACGATATTCTAATGGGTCATCCATGGCATACACGCGCTGTGATAGAATGCCTTCGCTTTTGCTTTGTCCGTCTGATTGCATTGCGTGGGTTTTACTTACATATGTATGTACGTGTGCTTCCACTATTAGCTCTCCATTTGCATATGTATGTATGTCAATACTATGTACACATTTGAAAGAAAATGCTGTTTATTATGTTTGTTATTTTTTGTTATGTACATATGTATACTTGTATGTTAGTATGTGCATATCTATGTACGCAAACAAAATTTATGCATTTGCATTCGATTCTTTTCATTTTTAGTCTGACTGATCGAAACTGTTCTTATACTGTTGTTTCCGTCTCTCTTGTCACTGTTATTGGTGTTGTTCTTTTCTTTTTATTAATTTGTACTTAGATTCGTGTGGTGAACGCATTCCGGCAAGGTCTTGACGCCCGTTACGGTGAACACACCAACACGTCGCTGGCAGAGGTGCTGCGAAAGCAGACTTCACTGAGCAAACGACTTTCGGAAACATCTTCCATTGAGTATGCCGACAATATACCCGATGAGCTGACTATACCCGAAATCGACGTCGAGCGTTTATCATCCCACAGTCACACCGAAACAGCAGTTTAAATTCCTTTAAACATACCTATGCATATATACATTCTCGTACACTTGGGGATCAAGTCAAATCAGTTTAAATTCATTCAGATACAAGTGTGCAAATTACCGCAACTGTACAAGTATGTATTGTGGATATCATTTTCCAAAGAAATGGAAGTCTACTTCTAAAAAATCGGTTTACAAGACAACGCATATGAATACGTACATTTAACTGTACATACGTATGTGCGGATGTTACGAGAAGATGAAATGCACACTCTATACAATAGATCAGAGTGCCCTAAAGATATTTAAGGCTTAAAACAAATTATACAAATAAATACATCACTCGAACTCCTTTCACACAAAAAGGGAAACTACACCCATATGCATGTACATATGTATAAACCATGCATATGTTGTCTACTCATAATTATTTCATACACATGAATGTTCCGATCAAGCCCCGTATACTCAAGCCATTAATGCTATTACTATTATTATAACACAAATTAAATAAATGAGTCAATGATTAAAATTAGGTATTTTAACGTTTTTGTTGGAGACTTTTACGGGGATTGGGGGATGCCAGCAAGACAACGCGCCACGCCGGATGCCATTGCCGGATTGGAAAATAGTGTTATTGCAGAAGTCAGCGGTCTCCTGACCAAAGACTTTTACCGGATAGGAAAATAGTGTTATTGCAAAAGTCAGCGGTCTCCTGACCAAACACACAAATAAATAAAGATCGTTGGGGAATATTATCCAGCCTGCATGTACAACATATAAGGATGCCTACCACCTGAAAAAGGCTGTTGGTGAATTGCTGAACAAAGATTTATCCGCTGTTGGATTTCATTTTGAAAAATGACAAGGAAGGAGACTCTGCCAGTTCACAGTCTTGAGGCAGCAAGTGTTGCGTGGATAGGCTCGAAAAGCCAATCGGTCCTACACGTCGGTGGGTGTTGGGCCCCAGTGTGAACCGGTTGCCGAGGTGGCTGCCAAGCACAGCGAAATCTTAACACCGCACCTGTAACATCTCTGCAAATCACTTATATCCCCAGCTCAGCATTGTGAGTGAGCACTTTATAACATACCTACACACATCTTGTAAGTACCAAAAATATAACCTGCACGTCGAATAAGTTATGAATTAACGCTTTAAATAATGGAACAGAAAGCTTGGATTAGGGAGTTAGAGGATATGCCGAGAACGCAACATTTGAGGTTACAGGTGCCTCAACGAACTCAACAAGAAAGAAAGCGACATACAAACGTATGTGCGTCTATGCGCTCAGAGCTTAATTAAGATGAGCGCGAAAACAGATAATTTAACGGAATTCGAATATAAATTACTAGAAGAGATTGTTCAGTCACAGACATATAATATATACAATAAGAGTACCACTGCTAGCTATATAATGATATGCATTTATTCAATAAAATTCAGTATCAGAAACAGTACCACAACGACCTGTCACTCATTTCCCATCGCAATCATCAGAGGCTGTCGCCGTGTCTTCAGATCCTCCTTTGGTTCAACTGGTTCAAGTTCTAGTTGCGACGAGCAAACTGTAGACAAAGGCAACTAGAACGGAGAGTAACGTGCAGATAGATAGTCGACAGACGTAGAGGAATTGAACAACAACGCAACAAACGTAGATGAATTGATCAACAACGCCAACAATTTCATCGAGAATTTACATCAAATTTATTTCTTCGAGTAGCATTCCAGTATGAGCCTGATGTTGAATATTATGCTCATTCTAAAGTGGTTATTGCTAAAATTTAAATTTAAAAATGTGCCAGTTGGGATATGTTGCTCATCAGGTAAACTACAAATAACCAAAATTGAAACACCACCTGAACCATTGCACGGTTTACTTATCGGTACAGATTCAGATGGTAGCATGTTCCTGAAGTCAATTCGCACATTAAATTCATGTTTCCAAATGACATCAATTGGAGCAACAGAAATAGTTAGCAATATTGCTGTAAATGGTCAACAATTTAATTCCACGTTCAAAATCAAAGGCCATGTTTATCATGTATCGTCAGCAAGCTGGACGCTCTGTTAAATGGGCACAATGAATTACTGAAATTATTCAAATCACACATGCTTAAACTACAAAGTGACAATCACGCTATTGTCATCAATCCTGATAGAACACCTGTTATTGACGAAGTTGCTGGAATCATGGTTGGCGAATCATGGTTGTCTGTATGTGGCTTAGATTTGGAATTTTCTTTGCTTCTTAGTCCTAATTCATTACGCAATTATTTCACATTAAGTAACATTTCGTTTGAGTTCTATTAAGAGGTCATACTGGATATACTGAGATAAAATCAGTCATCTCGAAACAGCTTCCAAACTTCTTTCGAATAAAACCTATTAAAATAATTCCTCAATCCTGAGGTATAGACCGTATAAACGTATAAGTTTGATTAAAACAAACATTTTGTGTTGATTTAAAAGCTCAAACACAAAACCCGATATTCCGATTTTGATCAGGCTTTTAACTATTTTTTCCGTCAGTAACATACAAAACAGATTTTTAACGATCATTGTTGTGTCATTACAGATCTACCTGAATTTCCTTAAATATAGTCACTCTTAGTTCAGAGTTGTTTGGAACATAGTGCTTTGCAGATAAATGAATTTGGATCGTCGCAGTCGCCACAGAGAATAATCGGTAAGACTTCTGAGGAAGAGCGGGCGCAGACTAATTGTCAGAATCGCTAGTCGACAAAGCAAATAACCTTTAAAAGTTTCAGCCACCGAAACTAGCCTTTTTGATTATTCTTTGTTTCGGCTGGCATTATTATCCTATCGAATGACGAAAAACTTTGTATGTTTGCTTAAAATGAGCGACTAATAGTTATAGTTATCCAGTTATAGAGTCCATTTCAACACCAAGTCAGTAAGAATGCCGGTGTGAAATAATTGACATATACATATTTTGTAAATTTTTCAACACCGTTTCTAAGTGGTTTCAAAAATTTGATAACTGAATTTTTGGTCGATAACATCATATTTAAAAACTTTTTAGTTCCTCTTAACTTAGAATGCAGAAATTAACATTTAATAACTTTTGTAATTCTTTTAAAATAATTTATTATTAAAATACGTATGTTGTATTAAAAAATCCCCTTTATTGTCAATATATAAATTATTTAAATCATATAATGTGTGTATCGTATTAAGATTGTCATATCATATAAACAAAAACAAGATTCGTGCGATTACGTACGTACCTACATATATAGAATAGAATCATTAGAATTTGATGACGTCATAATGCATTTCTTTTGCATTCTTGAGCACACAATATTCAATACACCTAAAACTTCGTAGAGTCCCTCAACTTCTAAGTTGTAAGAACAAAATCTTTGAACTATACTTTGTATACAGCCCGGTAAAGAAACTCTCTCAATTATTATGGAAATTTCTAAGTTTCAATAGTTACCTATGGTAGGATTCACTAATAAATTCAGACTTTATATATAGAATGCACATAAAATTACTGTGCCACATATAGAGCAGTATCATAATTTTTAATTTTTAGTTCGTCTTAACTTAGAATGCAGAAACTAACATTTAATAACTTGTGTAATTCTTGTATAACAATTTATTATTTAAATATTAAAAAATTCCTTTTATTTCCAAATATAAATGTGATTTAATATGATGTTTATATCGTATTAAGATTGCCGTTTCTTGTACACAAAAAAAAAGATTCGTACGATTACTCAAGTACTAAATAGAACAGAATCATACGAATATGAGGACGTCAAACACAATATTCAATCGAACTTAAAATTTTAGAGACTGTAAACTTGAAATTTGTAAGAACAAAATATTTAAAAACTGTTTAATATACGTAGAAAAGATAGATAGAACTTTAAATATTGAGAGGTTCAAAGTCATACAACAAGCAGAAAGTGTCTTTCTCTTCAGATAGTATTTTATAAGCATGAGTGTTATTATTTGTTTACGATTGATGTTTTTCTTTAAAAGATTTCGCTCCTTCAACCTAGAAGCTACCAATTTCACCTTTAGCAAGAACCAGAACCCTTACCATCGTTAAATTCCCCAGAAGATGTACAGAGGGCGAAAAGACGCAACTCTATATTAACGTGGTATTACATTTATATTTAGTATTATTGCTTTGATTTTTGGTCACTTTCACGCTACGTATGTACATATATACCAAGACAACCCAATCTCCATGAAATATACGCACTAAGTTAGTCAATTCAATTCATTTTTTACAAGACATACTATAGTTTTTGTTAAACACACGACATTTACATAGAAGCAATTACGAAGACTGAACGAATTGTATAGATCCGTCATATTTATATTTTATAATAATCTTATTCTAGCTTTGTTTATAATAATTTATTCTATAAATTTAATAGTATTTTTTGAAAATTAACACGTAAGTTATATAGTACTATTAATTTTATAAATTTTGATCTCACAATTTTTACATTTTTAACTTATTTATGTAAATATTTATATCAAATGAATCAATAGCATTAAAAAAAAATGTGATAATATATACCCACAAGCGGTAACAATAAAGACAAAGAATTTTTTTAATCAATGATTACTATGACGAGTTTAACAATAAAAATGTTCATGGTGTTTTGCATGTTTTACAATGCCTACTGTATTGACTAACAGACAGTGGCATATTGCAGTTGAGCTATGTTGTTTCATAACTTGTTAACAAAGCAGCGTCGACCGGCTCTAAGCAGCTGGGACAAGTGAGACTTCTCATTAACCAGTCGTCTATGCATTTCACGTGATAAATATGCATACATGGAAGATAGCGAACAGCTTCATCAACGCAAAATTCGGCCATACAAATAACACACTCTCGTGATTTTTTCGAGCTACCATCATATGTGCCTATTGGTAAATGTTGCATTAAACCAATCCGTTTTGCTATTTTAACTTGGTCCTCCTCGGAAAGTTGTGAATGGCCTGCTATTGGAGCATGGCCGATGGAAGTGGATGGCGATGGAAAAAAGATTTGTTGATACTGCTCGTTCTGAAAGAATAAACGAACCTACAGGTATGTATACATACATTTGTAACTAATCCATTTTATGGACTTACCTGAAACATTGGCAGAGGTCCGCTGTTTTGCCTGTGTACACTTTCACTGCCTCGCAAAAGTGAAATGTCATCAGAACTATTAATTTTCAAGCAATTTCCCATTCTATCCTTTGGTGTGGTTTTATCGTAAAGGTGGTTTTATTTAAAGAAAGATTAACTTTGCGTTTATTAATTTTATAAGTAGCTGCGGCAGGTAAAATAGTACCATGATACTCGGACTTATGATTATATAGTGTTTTTGTTTAAAGAACGTCTTTACAAGATGTAAGGTGTAATCTAACGTATCCGAAAGCAATGGTATTACAGAAATGGATTTATCAGGAAATTAAGGCGCAGCAAAAATAGCACTGGTTTCAAAAAGTTCAAAAAACTATAAAATGCAAGGAAGTTTTCCAAATTTGTCACTAAAATATGTGACTCGTTGTATTGAAAGGTTAATATTTTGTTGCAACAGCAGCTCAACATTTCGGCATTAAATTTCATATAATTTTCGCATCTTTCCTTTGGGATATCGATCCACGAAATACAGGATACCCCAAAGATCTTTATTGGTTGTCCTTTGGTTTCCCCATTAGAAACAGATAGTTTAACTTCACATGTGATCCATCATCGATTTGTGACATGTATTGGATCACCTTGCTAGTACTAAATTCAGGCCCATACGATTATACTTGATTTTCTGTCTAATGATTTTATATGTGCGTCAAGGGGTTGTATTCTGCATTAGGTAGTCGTCTCACATAAGATCAAGACCTTTTTCCACCAAAAAATAAATGTCGGCTTTCGTCGGACCACAGAATGTTTTGATCCCTTTTTCTTCAGGAAAACTCAAGTTTTGTTTTGAAAACTGAATTCGCTTTACAGTCAGAAGTGGAATTTTTCTCGTACTAAGAGCACTCAATTTAGTTTCATGAAAGCATGATCTAACGTTGCTGGCACTTGCCGATTTTTAAGATCCTTTTGTAGCTTAAACGGGTCCTTCTTGTTTTATCAGAAATGTGGATATCACGCCCTTTCTTCCCTTTGTTTCTTGTTGTTATTTAACATTATTGCGAATCATTTTGTTGGGCAACAGACGATTTACTCATCTTAACATAGGTGTTGTCTTATGAAATTAAAGATTCTTCACAACAGTGCTTTCTTTTTATTTTGTAACTTTCTTGTGACAATCGACTCAAGCCACCGATTATTTACTCAATCAAGACTTTCCAAAGGAAAATATCAAAAAACTTAAAACGCATATTTTTCGAAAAATTTACTTTATTATTAAAACTGCTAGAGTTTTGAGAGTCTAAACACCTCTCCCAAAGAGAAGACTTGTAAAGTAATCATACTTTATATCATTGCAAAATGCAAACATATTTGATTTGATAGTGTTCAATAGAGGCTGTGGTACAAAACAGTGCTATTTTTTTCGACGCCAGACATGATAAGCGTAAATTTACGAATTAATCTATGTAGTTAGCTTGTGTTACATTAAACACATTATCTTATATGTACACTGACTTCGCACAATAATTGCACTTCACTGCAAACATATGAACGCGAATCACAAAAATTCAGTTTCTATCATTCGCCTTTGTGTATATGCATGTACATGTATTCAAACGTGTATATACGATAATATGCGATAATATGTACATCAAAATGTGAATTAAAACCTTGGTGGCTAAGGTGATATAGTGCCATGTCATAGGGACATAATATTACTTAAATAATTATCAATAGATATAATATTTTTTTCAATTTTACCTATTGCTAATTATGCGACCAGTGTGACCGCGGATTTATCGTTAATATATACCGTCCGACCCTCAGAAATATACCGAAACATACCGTCTCATTTAAAAAATATACCGTAAATATACTGACGAATTCAAGTTATATTTTACATATTCCTCGTTTTTGATCTTCCGTGGAATATTACTAGCTAAATAGAATTTTCAGCCATGCTCACATAAGTTTATCCGATTAGTGAATCTATATTCTAATTGTCTGATTTATTTTAAACACTTGCTTTTATTGCATTTTGCGTAAAAAAGGTTTAAACGAAATTGGTAAAACAAAAAAAAAAAAACGAAAGAGGATAGTCGTTCCAATTGCTTAATGTAGAGATTCCGTTTAATAATTCTGTCTAACTAAAACCTTTAGTTTTGCCCACGTAATTTTAGGCCATTGATGAATCAATTTTCTACTTAATTGGCTAATTGTTAGTCCTTGCTTTTATTGTATTTAGGCTGAAACAAGGTTTAAACAATGTAGTTCAATAAAAAAACAGTCGCTTGTACACCCTATTTCGTTAATTTCATATGAAGATAAAACGTAATTTATAAAGACCTGTTCTCAAATTGATATGTTTTAGACATATTTATGTACATACATATATTATTAGTATCTTGTATATATTTATCTCGATCCTGATACCTACGGAGACTGGGATTACAAACATTTTCTCAATTCTATATTCTATTCAATTTCCTTAGGGTATGAAAATTAGTGTTGCCGGTAATCATTGTTGTCAACCGGTTATTCACCAATAAATACTCGTATTTGATCTTCCGTCGAATATTTCCAGCTATAGTATATGGAACATTTAGCAATGCCCACATAATTTTATACGATTGATGAATCAATTTTCTACTTGATTGGCTTATTCTAAATATTTGCTGTTATTGGATTTCTATATACCGTTGAAAATTATATTTAATAGATTGATTATATCTCAGAAAAATGGTACCTTTCAGAAATATCCCAAATTATACCTTTTAAAAATTGTGTGGGGCAGTAACAAGTGTTTTTTTCTGTTTGCAGTATATTTTTTCGTTGCAGTATAATATTTTTTTATGAGGTTTGAAAATAAAATATTAATGTTCAGGCATACTTTTATGAAGCAAAACGACGGCAGTAAGTGCGCGTGTGTATTTAACATGTCTGACGAGCGGCGAATAGCAGGATACATATTGAGCACATTTGCGCTGTTATGCGCCAAAATTTATTTCTTGCTAACGTTCCGATAACTAAAGCGGACAAGCGCCAGTTATTTTTACGAATTTTTACGCAAACTGTTGTTGCCCTGGCCAATTATTTCCGACACAAATTTGAGGTTGGGTTAAAAAAAAAATTATTTATAAAGATGTACGCTTTTGAAATCGAAGAAATCTTGCGGAATGTGGAAACGGGAGCATCAATATATCTGATTTCTAAAGAAAATTGGAAAACAGCCAGAGCCTAGCTGATTATCTCTCTACGATATCAAGTAGTTTTGGGTCGTTTTTGTCCCCAGAAGTTTAATGCGGTAAATCGCATTCCATCGGGACTGGCGCTCACCCGATGCGATTGTGCAAATGCCTTGCCGCCTACATATGTATTAATAATAATACTATTTTCGCATGGAACTGAATAAGCTGCATCTTGACTTCGAAAGAGTCGGCCTACCCTTGATGTGTACAATATCTGATCCGGTATCCGAAACATATCCAATAAGTTGCAGGGTGTGTGACATAGAGATGTTGAAAAACTATATCCAAAATACCACAAAATAAATAAAATAACGATTTAGTGAACAGAATGGAACTAGCTAAAATGACAACATAGCTGACGGAATAAAAATGAATTTAATTTACAAAAAAATGTATTTATTTTGTATGGGATGGGATGAAAGCAGTTCGTTCCCCAACACTAGTTTCTGTAGTTGAGTTGGCAAAAATACATCCATAAAAAATGAACATACATAGTATGTAGTAGCGGTCTGTCTGTTTTGTGCCAAATTAAAAACAAACCAGGTAATCATGGCGGAAGAGACTGTAGTTCTTATTTTATTGGTGATAGTGATGCTCGTTGGCTCTTATCTGGCTGGAAGCATACCAATGCTGATGAAATTAAGCGAGGTAGATATTCATACATCAAATTCTACGCAAGCATTTATTTGCATATGCATAGGTATGAATGTACATTAATTCAACAATATTCTCTGAATTTAGGAGAAGTTGAAGTGTGTCACTGTGCTTGGCGCTGGTTTATTGGTGGGTACTGCTTTAGCTGTAATTATACCAGAAGGTATTCGTTCATTGTATATGGATAGTGAACGAACGACAGAGTTGACGCCAGGTCCTAAACCTCAAGACTACTCGCAAACTATAGGACTTTCCCTCGTGCTTGGTTTTGTCTTCATGATGCTGGTTGACGTTTCTCAACGGAGGAGCAATATCGGTAGTGACGAGAAAAATACTGCCACACTCACGCTTGGCTTAGTGGTACATGCTGCAGGTATTTACTTTTTTTAATAGGTGTTTTTCGAACTTACATTTTATATGTCTTACATGCTTGACTGTATAGCTGATGGAATTGCGTTAGGGGCTGCTGCAACAACGAGTCATCAGGACGTTGAAATAATAGTTTTTCTCGCCATTATGTTACACAAGGCACCTGCAGCATTTGGATTGGTTAGCTTTTTGTTGCATGAGAAAGTCGAGCGACAACAAATTCGTAGACATTTGGCACTTTTTTCCTTATCAGCTCCACTACTGACGATTTTAACGTATTTCGGGATTGGTCAGGAGCAAAAGGAGACTTTGAATTCAGTGAATGCTACTGGGATAGCTATGCTATTTTCAGCCGGAACTTTTTTGTATGTTGCCACTGTGCATGTTCTCCCAGAGCTTACACAAGGTGGGCATCATCATCATAAAGGTACCGCTTCCCCTCAGTATGAGTATCGGGTATTAGAGGAATCTCGAGATGTCGGCACTATTGACATGAACGGTATTGCTGCCGCGAGTAACTCTCAGAGTCATAGTATACAGGCTTTACGATACAGTGAGCTAGTAATTATGATATGTGGTGCGCTGCTACCGCTTATCATAACATTTGGACATAAGCATTAGAATAAGCATACGTACACTGTCGTACATTCCTGTCGTTCGCGCGTTAGTGTATAGAATCTATGGGCTTACATGCAATTCAATAAATTTCACTTGTTGCCCATAGTTGGGCACAGTTAATACAGTTCAAAAAAGATGATATATACTGTAACGTTTGTAATTTCAAAGATTAATAAATATGAATTTTCAGTACATGTATTTCAAGTACTGTAAAAGTGGCATTTCATATACTTTTTTATTCGGCATTCAAGAGTAATGTCTTATATAAATAAAACCATTACACATTGCAGTTGTAATTGAATATTAAACTACAGAAGGACAATGTCGAGAATCTAGATCTGGCGATCAAGTTCCATTTCGACAAAATGGTGGTTGCGTTGTCATTGATATAAGAAGCTAGTTCAATAGCAATTTAGAGGCAGGTCCGATTAATAAATGGAATAATTTAGTTAAATCGAATTATATATGTTCTATCTCAATTTAGGTATTTTATTATAAATTTAATAAAACATGCAAATTTAAAATTATTGGCCATTTTTACTAGTACCTTTCGAGTAAATGTCGGACATGAGCACTCATACTTAACGCCTATGGTATACAGGAGGAGAGACGGGAGTTTGAGACGAGAGTGGCTATATGACTGGCTATATGTAATAGTATCCATATTGATACACACTTGTTTTTGTGTGACATCAAATAGGACTGCACTGAAAATGAAGTTCTAAAAAAATATGTATGGGATCGGAAAAGATTCTGGCTTCTCTCCCGCAAGAAATGATTCCCGCTTAACACACGTGTTGTTTTTCAAAATTTTGTAAAAAAGGTTCATATGCTACAGGGTAAAACTAAAAGGGTCAAAACATGAAGGACTGGACTTTGGTTTTTTTCCGGGGCTCAGCACTTCTGGTTGTTTTTATTAACCTCTAAATTTATTAGTAACGATTTCGGTTTATAGGTATACATATAACTTTTTACATTTGGCCGACTCAGTCATCGAAGCTGGATGAAAGTAAGAAATTTGCTGCTAGTTCTTCATCTTTTTCACAGGCAAAGTAAGCTTGCAGCACAAGTGCTTCCGGAAATCCGAGTGCTTTCAGCTATGGGAATTTTTAATTTAAATTGTACAAAATTTATATATATGTTATGAAAATGTTATATACCCGTTCTATAGCATCTTGATCTTGGGCATTTAGACGAATGGTTGCGATTCCGGCGGACTGTTCCGTGACTTCGCGGTCGGCGACATCTCGCCTTTGCAACTGGTCTGCAGCAATGCCACCAGCAGATGACCGTTGGTTGGCCACTGGCCCTTCTTCTGTTGCTGATGAGGGCAAGCTTTCTGTCCGAGTTGGAAAAGACTGTATTCGAGGAGGCGTAGAGCGTTGAGTGTTATTGCCAGATGCGGATTCACCCTCAATTGGCTGGTTTAGCATATTAAGAAACGCATCCTGATTCTCCGAAATAAGTTGTAAAAGAGCTGGGTTCGTTTGGCCAATCTAAGTGCGAAAAGTAACTAAAAATGCATGTTATTTTTGTTGATGAACTTACCTGTTGCAAAACAGCATGTAAAAGGTGAGGGTTTTGATATATTAGCGAGCGCATTTGAAGAAATTGTGGCTGGCTACGCAAAAACTCAAACGGATCTGCAAATAAAAATATATGCATAGGAAAATTGTACGTAGTTAGATATATAGCATAGTTATATTTCAAAATCAAGTTACCAGAAGATTGGGCTGGAAGATCGACAGCTGGTTCAGATATAGGTTGGGATCCAGGAGCTCTTGGATTTTGATTATTTGTCTCGTCACCGGCATTAAATAGGCTTTCATCCTCGGTGGGTATACCATTAATCAGGTACTCCACAGCCCGTTCAGGGTTGTTAAAACTGGCGCCCATTGCACGTTCCACTTGGTCACGTGGGTAGCCCATTTCTACCATCGATAAAACAGTTTTATTGTATTCTTCTCCCATTAGTAAATTTGACTCGGCACGTGTTTGCAATGAAGCATTAGCCAGCTCTCCAACTAAATCGCTACTGGAATAGGGTCTTTGTATAGCTGTTCCAGTTGACGAGACGGACACAGAAGGCGCGGACTCTACAGCGCCAGAAATGGGAGTAGATCCACTTGTACTGCTTATAGTTTTTTCGATATTTTTTTCTTTTTCAAACAATTTTCCCTCAGCTTCGTTTGTCCGTTTTGGCTGAGTATCAGAAGTTGAAGATGCAGCCGTCGAAGCAGCTGTATCGCGTGTTAACATTACTACTATAAACTTTTTTTCATCAATTTTGTATGACGCTATTGTACGGTCATCCATAAGTATGACTCCTGCATAGATCAGTTTTTGCTTTTCCGCAACGTACTCTACCCCGCGCTCGTCAAATATTTTCTTCTTGAGTTCCAAAACCTATACAACAAATGTTTTCAGAATGTGCTTACAACTTTAAATTAAATTTTATTCGTGAATGCAAATGCATATGCACATACTATTTGTATTTATACGTGTAGCGTAGGCATATACATATTTACGTTTCACGAACATACATACATACATATATGGAAAAAACTACCACTCACCGTTTTTTCCGGGTCAAACTCAATAGTAAAGGTTTGCTGCTGCAGATTTTTTACGGTGATAATCATTTTGTATCTTGGATAAAATTTGTTAGATATAAAAGTGAAGTTTAATGTACATATGCATATGTAGCTGTATTATTCTTTTTTTTAGTATCGGTCGCTGAAATGTGATTTGTCATCATTTAGGATTAGGGTTGTGTAAACATATTATCGATATTTTATTTTGTTAGGGTATTCCTGAATGCGATCTTAATTTGATTTGGACGAAAACTGCAACTGAAGTTGATACGTCTTGGTTCTTAGTTGTTTACTTCAATACCAAAATACATTCAAAATAAATAGTTTTAAACCATGTCCTCCTTCCTGAAATCACTGAAGTGATTTTCATTGTTTATTATGGTTTAATGGATCGAATTTGTTTGTGGTATAACACTGAAAAAAGTTTGTTAAAATTTATGACACTTCACAACTTAACTCAAATCGAAGAATTCTGTTTCATCCACAAATACTGAAAAACCGAAATAGCAGAAACAGTTGCCTCGCCCTTCTCTTTCTCAACCCTGTCTTCTTTGGGAATAATGGAGATTTATCGGCCGTATGGTACATACAAATGTACATCGTTGGCGAGGAAGGGAGATAGATATAAAGGAGTGTGTTGTATAAGAATAGATTGAATTTTGCTCATTAGGTGGAGAGATGATACGTGGAATGCAGGAATATATTGTTTAATATATAGTAACTGACCATGGGGTATTATGGCGACTCGAATTCGACTGGATTCAATTTTTTGCTATTACTTACATGAATTTCTAGATAACTTAAAAGAGCATAGTTCTAAATAAATAAATAAAAGTTAAATTATAATTATATCTTCGAAAATACATTAATAAATAAATATTTATTGTGATCTACTTTTGGCTTGAGAAGCAAAAATTATCCGAAGAACTCTGTCAGTGGGCCCACACAGAGCGCGACGATATGGTCAAAATTAAAAGAAGAAGGACGGGTTAATCCGTCCTTCATGAACTCACATATTTTTATAGATGCAATCAACCTTGTCCATACTTCAGTTGCAAAAATATACATTTCATATTAAGTATACATTTTACTTACATATACAACGTGCAGTCTATGAAAAGCTTCAAAACTGAAAGACAAGCTTGCATAAAAACAAACTTAAGAACTGATGCCCATGGGTATATAAACTTAGCTGGTCATCCTGACAAAAAATATATGCTTTGGGGCTGATGTGACTTCTGCACGTTGTATGTACACATCTACTCAAAGCCATAGAGCCCAGCCCTATAAGTTAGGTTCGGCTAACCCTGACGGCGCTACGCATAGGCCAATATGGCCCTTAGTTATCCGGATTCGGGGGTATGAACCGTTGCGGAAGCGCTTATGAGGTTTGAAACTCGTCTAGACTCGAGGCGTTTCCAGCAAAGGCATTAAGGCGTTTTCTTAAAATATCTACGTCATAGGTATCTTCTCCTTGCCCGTGATCTTCCAGGGTTTCGATGGTCATAAGTGCATCACACTTCCTACAGGTGTCTCTGTTCGTTATGCCTAGCTTGGCAGCATGCGCCGCAGCTAGACAGTGCTAAATCTTCAGTCCTTCCATGGTAGGGGCAGAAAGTAGTGACTGAGTCTACATAAGCGTTCTATGCACATGGTTTTCGAAGTTCTTTAGGCAGTGGTACCTCCCTGCTCCCTCCATGCTGGTTATGCCCGTAGACATAGACTCCATCTTTTTGTCATCAGTGCTTTCGGTCCATCCTGGGAAGTGAGATTCCACGATGTGTGGTATCCAGTAATTCCTTGGATAGGATCTGTAGGTACTCCTCTATATTCTCAGCGGATTTCGCTGAGCATGGATTCGCGAGCTTCGAAGTAACTGCTTTTTATAAATTTCCCAGTGTGAATTCCGGTGCTTTCTTTAGACTGTTATCTTCGGAGAGTATTTAAATTCCCATTTAAACGGAATGTACTTATGAACTTCCAGTGGTACGGGCCTGTCATGTGAAATGTTGCAGTAAGCTACCAGAAAACGCTTTTCCTCACCTTCCAACATCCAACACAGATAGTCGCTCCATCGGGAATCGCCGCTGGCAGTCCAACTCGGAAAGCCCGTGGGTCCACCGCACCTATATTCTGAAGTGGTCCTTGTGCCAAAGGTAGAATCTCTGCTTTTCACTCGTTCCCCACCTTCGGGGCGTACTTAAATCTCCCGATTCCTTCCTTGTTTAATTCGTCCTCCGCCTCCAATTGTCCTTGGAGCGTACTTAAGCCTCAGCACTATCTATCTATTCTATCTCCATGCTAACTTCTAAGACGTCCAGCCAGGCTCAATCACTTCCTTCCAAACGCTTGTGTGACCCATCATCTGTGACATGGCAAATAGCGGGAAAAAAGAAACGTTGTGGATCTGAGCTCTTAAACGATTCACACAAAAAAACTTCTCCAAGTTTCCCCCGCCCTTCATCCTGCGCCTCTTCAAGGCAACCGTTTTGCCCTATTGCGTGAACAGGATCTCTCAACTGTTGCCCAGACTGCGGCGAGGGAGATGCCTAGGATTCAACATAACCCTTCTGCTGATGATGTCCCGTCCACCTCAGCAGCGGCTCAAGCAACTCAGGTTGAGACAA